TTTTTGTTTATTGGGTCAATTTTCCAAACCCCCCCCCCCCCCCTTGGCGCTCTTTTTTTTTTTTCCTTCCACCCCGTCCCCTGGGCATGAATCCTGTATCCACCCTTCTAAGGTACTGAAGAGCCAAATATACTTTCATACACTGGCTGCAAGGTTGTTGTTTGCATTTACAAGCTTTCTATTCTTCTTCACACACACAACAAATTTCTTTCACATCGCAGTCAGTATCAAACTGTTTGGTAATTGGCCATCAGTCTAATTGGCCTTTTGCACACATTACCAGTAAATGAACCAGTAGAAACATGAATGCGCTGAAGGAATTTGGTTTCAGCTCCCACAGTCTATTTTATAGATGGGTGTAATGATAAAAACTGAATACATCTCTAACTACTCAGCTCAGGAATCCACCTACACAGGGAGCAGTCTTTCCCTTCATCTCTCTTTACCTCTTTTTCCTCTTCTCTCCTCCCTGAGTTTCCTTCCTTGTATCCCTCTTTCTCTCCTTGCAGTACAATGCGGGTCATTGTTTGTGAGTTTCATGGGAGAGGAGCTTTGAGAAAGATCCACTGACTGTAATTTCATGCCTGGTGCTAAGAGATCTGTCAAGGAGCTACAGTAAAGTTACTTAATATCAGCCTTTAGTGTTTTCAAAGGTCTGTATCACCATTGCAGTTTGGTTGATTGGCATACTCTGTAACAAGCTCTGGGGGGGTTAGGGTAACTGTATCATGGGAACTTTTATCTCGATTCAGACTTTATCGTCTTATCAAACCAAGAAGATACACAGTAAAATGGGTGGCAATATGAATAAGGTCCTCTGTCACACACAGAACGTAATTCTATATCACAACATCAATATATATCACAACAAAAACATACTTTTTATGGAAAATCAATGAAGAAATTGTTATTGGATAGAACAGGAATTTCAGTTTTTTTGTTAATCGGGCCAATTAAAGACCTGACAAAACAAAATACATCACATTGATTGAAAAATAACGAAAAAAAATCCAATATAAGGAATACAAAATGGGCAATACAACAAACTTATTTCATCTAGTTGATTAGAAAGAGAGCTAGAAATCATATTTAATCATATTGCTATAAATATCTTTATCACAAAACTACCCTCCAATATTGTGATCTATAATGACGGCTGCACTACCTGAGTCACACCTATGACTCATCAGGAGGATGTAAAGCACACCTAGTGGTGGGATTGTTAACTCTGACTAATGCTGCTCTGTTAAAGAAAGCCCAAATATTTCTGCTGGATGGATCAGTTTCGTTTTCTTTTTATTCCTGCTTCATAAGAAAAGAAAAAGTTTGTCCATATGTGTACAAACTGGCTCGCTGTTTCTCCAGAAGTTTGACTAATCGCCTGATACCAGTGCTGTACTGATACAAATGCTCCCTCAGAGATGTGTCTTTCTGATTGAGGTTGTCTCTAGTGATGTCATTAGTCCCTCTCTACTGTCTGACATTTCTACCCGGTTGACGCCTGACAGTTATCTGTGATTGGTCAGTGCCTTTTCATACTGCATACCAAGCTGAGTAACTGACGGATGACACAACCATCCATTCAAGTCCTGACTTGTCTCGAGAAAGGCTTTTTTGCAACTGAGCAACATTTTTTTTTTTTTTACAGTTTCATTTATCTGCTGCAGCTTTACTCGTACCATCTGAAGGATTACACGGTAACAAGACCTTTCAATGACATTCCTTAGTGCCTCAGTTAACTGGGGTCTTAACTCAAGACGTACACAAACACAACCAGCTGACATGAGTTATTGCATTCATCATCTCATTACGGCCTGCAGAAGGCAGGCCTTTGACTGTGAGTTGAACACTTCACAGTAACTCCTGGAAAACCACAGCCTCTGGTCTTGTGAAGTAAAGGAGCCTCTGGCTGAATTGACCTAATCTGCTGTGATGAGTAATTCAGGGACTCTCGTAAATTACAGAGGCCTTCACTGAAACAGTGAGGGTGAATAAGATTGCGGCGCTGTTTATTTGTTACACTGACGGCAAGATAAGACCTGAAGCGGGTCAGATCTAGACCCTATAAGCACTCGGCACCCCATTAAATCACGCCCATAATATTTGTTTTAGACCAGCTAAGTAGTGTGTATGTGTGTTTTGTACACATGCAGATGTATGGGTTTCAGTTCTATACTGTTGGCTCTGCCGTGGGACTTTCTTGGCTGTGGTTATGGGAGATTTGGAAGTGGTTTGTTCCCCCTCTGCGTCAAACACATCAAATGGTCTTTTCATCAGCTGTGACCTCAGGATCTCTACCAGGCTCCAAGCCAGCCTGATATCAACAAACATTTAATCACCACCACCCAACATTAAGACTCATCAGCAAACCCGTAGAGCTATGATTAGACCTCATAAAAAGAAGACATGCCTCCTTGTGTGTTCGCGTGTTTGTTTTGAAACATATGTGAGTGTTTATGCAAGTATGGTGCTAGTTGCGGCATGTCCTGACTTCAGAGGAGCGTTTCTTTCATGTCTTATCTCATCCGATCACAGTGGCCCACTTGATAAGGAATACACTGGGCTCAGGCTTTTGTTTTATTGGCACTGCCTCAGACAGAGCCTCGGGTCTGATTGCTCAATAGTCCTGTGACTGTTAAGTCATAAAGCATGTTCATAATCAAGGTTAGAGCTGGAGTTTTGGTTGACAGTAAACAGTAAAGAAAAGAAAGTAACCTGTACAATACAGTTAATGGAAAAAATAAGAAACCTAAAGGGTATAAAGTGGGCTTCTACAAAGTCAAAGGTTCAACCCCCAGTCTTGAGAGAGAAATGCGTCAATGAAATAACCATTGCTCCTCTTTCAATAACTTCTCTGATGCCTTTAGGCAAAACACTCAATTTAACCACTGCCTCTTTCTCCCTCGTTTTGCTGAGGAGCCAAAAACTGGATCCTACCTGGTTTGAGTAACTACATGAACATGACAGAACATTTCTAAACTCATTTCAAAACTCAATGTAAACGTTAAAAGGTCAGTGGTAAATAGTGACCGGTATCTGTGTCTTCGACACTCTGAGTTATCGCTTCCCCTCTTTGGCCTCAGGCTGATTTACGATGCTGTCGTCTGAGTGTGTTCCTATGGTCTGAAAAAACCCCAAGGAGTAACTCTTGCCCCATCAACACCCTCACTATGTACACACACACACATACACCTAGATGCCTGTGACTCGCTTCTTCTATAATCAGCTGCCAACAGTTGCTGTGCAAAGCTAAGACAGAACACCAAGCTCGAGGGCAGATATTTTCTTTCGACACCATCTGTCACTGTAGCTATTCCACCTGTTTTCTGCACACTGTGTTCAGTGCTATTCTGTAGCTTCTTTCAACAAGAATATTGTCAAATTACTCATAGTTAGTTAATCGTTTGCTCTGTGAGAGAAAAAAGTAGTTGCACTTCAGACTAAGTTGTACTTTTTTGTTCATCTTGTTTGTTTCAATCCATTGAGTCTTCAGATGTGGGTAATATGATGTAGGGCTGTTACCAACAATTATTTTCAATATTGATTAATCTGCTTGTAATCAATCAATGATCTGGTTTTTCAAACATCAGAAAACCTTGAAGAAAAGTCCAAAGTGATGTCATCAAATCTCTTGATTTGTCTGGTCAACCATCTAAAACCAAAACATATTCAATCTACCATAATGTAAGGCGAAGAAAAGCAGCAACTTTTCACATTTAAGAAACTGAAACCATCCATTGTTTAGTATTTGTTTGAAAACTAACTTAAATGAATAATCAGTTAGTAATAAGAGACATGTTACTGTCCTACACATAATTTAGTCCAGATTTAACAACCAGTATCTTCCCACTGGTATCCATTGTGTTCAAGGCCATGTGCAATGTTACTGGAGATATGTATAATATGGGAGTATCCAGGCAGGTTTTAGGATGAGAGGAACCTGGCTGTATAATTAGCTAGTCCAAGCCTGTTATTAACAGAAGCCTCTGGAAGGCAGCCAGTGCTAATTGTTTATGTGCTGTCAGTCAGGGCTGTTTGTGCTCTGTAGCCTCTGCGCAGTTTACTGCCTTGGAAACCTGCTGTTTATGCTGCTTAAAGCCGATCACCTTGTTCTGGGAACAATGGAACATCTGTGTGTCAAGATGAGTGAGTCTCTGAAAGGGGAAAAATGATGGAGGGAAAGATGAAAGCAGGGTTTAGGGAAAGATGGAGACTTTTCCCACTGCAGGGCCCCTCTCTGCCTCGGGTCTGTGCCGTCATGCTCTGCTGTTACAGCTGGGGGAAGCCACACACACACACACACACACACACACAACACACACACACACACACACACACACCACACACACACACAACGACACACACACACACCACCACACACAACACACACACACACAGTCACACACAGTCACAGTCAGATGAGTTTACCCTTCATGCCTTGTAAAACACAATCATGTGTTCCCCATCACCACAGGAAGTATTCTGCATCATCATCAATCATGCAGCATATGGACTGCATACCAAACAGAAAAGTTACACACTTCACACTGATGCCAGAAGTTAAAGGCACCACAGTTAAAACTGGTGTTAAATATACTGTTTTATTGTGATATTGGCCTTTTTTAAAATGTCCGACATAGGTTAGTTGCTCTGTGATGTTGGCTTGCATATTGATGTTATTTAACCGATGTGCCAATGTGACATACTAGATTAAATGTTGTTTCCCATTAATAACCACCAACCACTTGTTTAGTGGAAACATTTTACTTTAGTTACTTGTAATGCATCTGTGTATTATTATTCATCTTCATGTCTTTTAGCGGAAACTTTTACTGTCACAGTGCTGCTTGGACAAACATTTTCATGAAAAGGGTCTATTTGTGGAACTGGTCTAAATATTAAAATAAATATATATATAGCTATTATATTAAAGATTAGAACTGACCTCCCAGTTAGAGTAGCCTTGAACAAAGATAACTGTTACACGTTTATTGTCTTCACTTCTAATCACTATTACTATTGGTTCTTTCCAGGCCTGGATGGAAGTCACTTGTGACTGCTTGTGATTATTTTTTATTTATTTTTATTTATTTGGAAATGTGTCATTTAAATAAACCAAAATACATAATACATAATGAGCAGCATGGACAAAAAGCTGTCCTAGTATACACAGAAAGTGTTATCACTATATGTCTGAAATAACCATGTTCAGTCACTCAGACCTTACAGTTGTCTAGATGGGAAACGAATGAACCATGAATAACTTGGTGACAATGGTCACAATGTATTAGGAGGGCTTAAACTGTGCAAGTCCTGCTATAGCACTGTGAAAAGATGCTTTTTATAGTTCATGCAATGCAACACGTGGGATTAGTAAAGCATACAAACACTGCACCTCTCCATTGTTGCAGAGATCTCACTGAATGCAGATTGGATGATTATGTTGACTTGAGCTGTAGATCATCTTTCCTTCGGTCTAGTAATTAGGTGGACAATGCAGTCAGTGTCTTTTATCCACTGATGTCATGAGAGCCATTTTCTTGTTCCCCTGCTTGTCTAACAGGCCTGTCTGTTTTGTTAGCCACGCCTTTATGTGCACAGGGACTATTAAGGGTTTTATGTTTCTCATTTTGTGTGTGTGTGCACATTGTCCTTGAGCCTCTTGGAACACATCAAAAGCCTGTTACCAAACTTACCAAAGTGTGTGCTCAGCAGAAAGAGTCGCATGTGTTTCTGATTCCCTCTTCAACCCATAAATACTCTGCTCCTCAACAGATTGTGTGTCTGTAGTGGCACGGTGTCACACAGATGATTTATAGTCTGTGCATGCATGTGTATTTTCTGTACTCTCAAGAAGCTGTTTTAAGTTGTTGGTTGTTTTTTTGTTGTTTTTTTTTTCAAACAGATAACAAAAAGACTAACAACTGAGAGCGCAGGCTGCTTACACACACAAAAACATGATAAACATAACGTTCCACAACTCCCGATTCCAAACTGAATCTGACCACAAATATGGATAATTACAGTGCAGAGTTGGGAAGCCATCCTTTGTGAACTTAAAAATTTAGTTGGAAGTCTTATACGATGATTTTTGCAACAACTAAAGAAGACTTTTGGCCACCTCTCAGCAAATAACATAGTGTTCTCCTCCTTCAGGTGGCTCCTCTGTCCGGCAGTCTGAACGGGGAACTCCTCATGTCCTCCGCCCTCGCCACCCCCGCCAGTGTCTCCGACCTGCCCCTGCCTCAGAAGCCCCTGGTGCGTGGCAGCCTGTCTGTTGCGCCGGCCGACTATCCAGAGCGCCCTGAAGTGATGTTGCGGCGGGAGACGAGCTCCTCCACCCTGCCGCTGAAGACGGAGGTGCCCCTTCATCTCTTCAGCACCACCAACCAGCTGCACAAACCGGTGGGGGTGCAGCAGCAGATCCCCACCAAGCTGGCCGCCTTCAGCAGCGGCAAAGGGAAAGGAGGCAAGATTGGCAAAGCCTCACATCGCACTGACAGCACTGGTAAGAGGTTAGATAGGAAAATCAATAAATCCTCACACTCGAGAGGCTGCAACCATCAAATAATTTAAATTTTAGGATTAATCGTAGAAAAATGTGAATAAATAGTTTGTAAAGGGAGAAGCACCATGCTCTATATGTTTACTCTGACACAGGAAACACAGTGTCACAGCAAATGGACTGGGTGGAGTGTGACTTTAATGTTATTTCTACCAGCCGGACCCTCAACGAGCACCAAAAAGCACTCTTTTTCAAAATGTGTCGATGAGTGTTGCCTTGAGGTTTTCTCCTCTCTTGGTGATGTGTAACAGTGCAGCATTTTCTGTTTTAAAATGGGTTTTTCTTGCTCGCAGTCATCGATAAACAAGCCATCTGTGCCTGACATGAGCTTGACCCCTTCCACATGGTTTAAGTGGCTCATTAGGATCACATTAGCTGTCTAAATTGGGTCAGCCATCTGATATATATCAGATAGCGGCCTGAGAGAGGCTACGCTGCTGTAGTTTACCAATGAAATCTAATTTTACAATTAAATCACCTTCTGTCTCCGTTTGTTTCTTGTCTTCTTTGCGCCCTTCTTCCTCCCCCTCCCCTGGTCTCCTCCCTCCTCCCCCCTCCCTCCTCC